AGGAAAGTTTCTGACTGCATGTGTGTGTTATGAAAACTACTCCTGAAATACAGTCAGTTTACTGGTGCAACTCAGGACAGCTCCCGTGTCTTTAGTTTGACAACTTTTGATATACAAGATTCATTCTTCCTGAGAATGTATTTGTGTCCTCAGCTTCAGAGAAGGGCTTCTGGTGGTGGTGTTCAGTGGCCAGTTTTGACCTTTAAAGAAGCTCCTGGTCCTTCTGCAGAGACCCTGGAAATAGGACTTCAGATTCTTCAGGTCTGTCCGACACAGACTAGTAGAGAACTGAAGAACATCTTAAGAGGCAGAGTAAATATTTTTAGTGGCCTAAGCTTTTGTAGCTTACATTTATTGCTATATGTAAGAGAACATTTAAGAATCGTCCTTGTTGCTAGTATGTAACTCTTGAAAAATTTTTTCATTGGTAGGTGCAGGACAATTTCCTTAGAAACTGGAGCTCAGAACATTCAGATGTGCATCACCATGCTACTTTTTTTTTTTTTAAATCTCTCACAATCTATGACATATTTATCATTATGGGTCAATTTAATTTTTCTTTTAAACAATATTCTCAGAAGTAAACGAAGATACCATATGTGGTTGTAAAACCAGAGCTATAGGAAAACCCCAAAAATTCACCATTGCATTTATTTAGTTTTGTCAGTTCACTGTCTTTAGACCTTGAACTATAGGCAAGTCCCATTATAGTCTATATTATTATAAACTTAACTTTCATAATGAAGATATTCCTATGTCTGGAGAATGATTGAAAGCACTGATTCCGCAGTTTTGGTTTGCAGAATTTTATGAATAATCTCTGCAAAACCAGTGCCTTCTCTATCATTCTCATGTATGACTTCATGTCAGTTTCTGTAACTCTTTGTAGTTTAATTTTCTTGTGTATATAATGGAAATAGTACCATAGGTTATTGCATGGATGAAAAGAGAAAAGGTATTTAAAAGCATGAGGTATAATATTTAGCAGGTAGTGATCAATAAATGCTAGTTATCATTATTGAGATGCAGCAGAAAGGAGTAACATTTATATTTGGGAATGGAAAACCTGGTCTTGAACTCTTTTCTAGGGCCTAGTCTGTTGATCTGATCTTATAGCATCCTCCATTTCCATCTGGCTACCCAGATAATTTTTAATTTGTTTTCAGTAGGGGAAGTAAGTCTGTACTTTCATAGTTTGGCATGTCATAGTTTCTGATTTTATTAGTTTAAAACTAATATAACATCTGAATAATTTAAACCCTAATTGCAAAATGGTATACTTATGGACACTACATTTTCACATAATGCATATATGTGTAATTTCCATGTTTTAAGGGAGGTTCAGGATTTACCTGTTTGTCTAGACTTGCTGAATCTGTCTCATTATTTTCTGTAATAGCTCGGGGATGGTGATGCCATTCTTAGTGCAAGTGGAATCTTGTTATATCTGTCAGATTTTGCCAGCAATTTTCCTATATGTGAATAGCTGAGAGACCTAGTTAGCTGTATCCTCTGTTTATGCTACGTTGGAATTTCATGGCAGTAAAACAAAAAACTCCATTTCCATCTGGCTACCCAGATAATTTTTAATTTGTTTTCAGTGGGGGAAGTAAGTCTGTACTTTCATAGTTTGGCATGTCATAGTTTCTGATTTTATTAGTTTATTAGTGACTTTCCATTGCACTCATACATGCTTACTGTGTGCTTTTCCAGCTTTGTCATCCTATAGAACAGTTAGCAGAGAACCAGGATTATCTCTCACCATCCTTGACCATTCCTGTGAGTATCAGTTGTCTAAAGGATGGAGGCAGTAACCTATGTAATCAATGATATAGAATCAGCATGATGTAAATCTCACATTTTCCTTTCCATAGTCATGAATCTTACCTTTCTGCTGTTTGAGCTAAAGCCATGCAGGGGGAAAATTCTGTGTTAGTTCTCCAGAAGTTCAAGAGTAAAGCGAAGTAATAAGCAGTTCTTTTCAGGACTTGGTCACATGAAGTGCCAAGGAATGTAGTACTACAACAGGCTAAGAATTTGGAAAAGCTTCCCAGACACACTCTCTTCATGGATACAGAGGTTCGAGAGCTGTGGCAAATGCTTTTCTTCCTTTATCTGCTCTCTAGCTAGGAGTCTTCATTCAAAGTAAGCATTCTCAATAGGATAGAATAATTTTAAGTTTCATTTGGAATAAAATATATGCAAGAACTGCTAAGAAAAGTTTGAAAAGAAAAACTTATGTAGAAGCGTCTGGTCTATTATACACTAAAACACACTATCAAAACACTAATTAAAACAGTTTGGTATTTGGAAAGGAAAAAACATTTTGCTTACACTTGCACATTTAATGTGTAGCGAAGCTGGCACTTCACATTAGTGGGTCAATATAGAAAACAATAGATTATTTTCATACCTTATACCATATAAAATGTGTATTTTAGATGAGTTAAAACTATAAATATAAAATAACCTATAAAAAAGTAAAAAGTGGGGATAATATTTGAATAACCTCAGTGTAGGGGGAAATCTTTAACAAGACAAGAAACTCAGAAGCCATAAAAAAATGGACAGATTTGACTATCTCAGTGTTAATTACTTATTATGAAAAAAGTAATAAACATAATCAAAAATATACAATAAGTTTGGCAAAGATATTTGCATTACATGTGATATGTACCCTAATTTTAAAAGAGCTCCTAAAAGTTGAGAAAAAAAATCAGACAAGCAAAAGATGTTTAGAGAGGACATCCAAGAAGCTAGCAAACATGAAAGAGGCCAGCCAAAATGAAAGGAAGCATTTTTCAATGTTCTCATGAGAATTAAAAGCGATCAGTCACATCCAGTGTAGAAAAGATTGTGAAATGCAACTAACTTTTTGGAAAATAATCTGGTACTATCTGTTAAAATAAAAAACAGACTTTTGACATAGCAATTCCACTTTCTGGAATCTATTTTACAGAAATGAAAGTGAAGTATGTGTAAGGATGTTTATTATAGCATTGTTTATAATGGAAGAATACTCAAAGCAATTTACTTATCATTAATGAATTGACTGAAGAATTATGGCATATTTACATTATGGTGTACTGTGCAATTTTTTAAAATAATGAATTTAAGCCATATGTGTTGTCCTTAAAGGATGTCTGTAATATAAGTGGAGGGAAAAAAAGCAACCAAGTCGAAGAGTAATGTGTATTATGTGATTGCTTCAAAAAGAAAAACAAAAGAATAAACCTCTATTCATCAAATAAGCATGTATGAAACAGGACAGCTTAATAGAAAAATAAAAGAGAAAAGCATGTATGAGAAATACCTATGAATTACCTCAGTCTGGATTTCTGAAAAGGGCACCAATCAGTTAAATATTTGCTCCTTAAAATGTTACTCACATTTGTACTTGGAAGAGCCTGATTTTAGTTATGTTTTAATAGAAAGTTCTGTTCCTCTAGATGGCTATAATGGGTGTCTGCCATTTGAATTCAGTGTAAAGGGGTCATTTCACTAAGATTTTTCAAGGCTCACCTGCAGTCACATGACATATGAGAAAGGCAGAGAGAACATTTTTTTAGCACCAGTGTATTGACATATTGGCTCATCCTTTGATTCATAAATTTGTTCAATAAGTATTTAATGAGCCCCTCCTGTGTGCTGTAGCATGTAGCTATGCCAAATTCCTAGGGATGGGGTGGTAAATAAGCCCCTGTCCTCTAGCAGCTCACAGTCTGGCACACGTTGGCAGGTATGCAGCTCTCATGTAGGGTACAGTGTGTGTGCAGTACGTTAGGTAATGCCAATAAAAGTGTGTCCAGAGGGCAATGGCAGCAATCGCCCAGGAATAAACACTTGAAGTACAAAGAGGTGGTACACAGCAGTGCTGAGGAAGGAAAAGCCCATAGCCCACTAGGGTTGGACAGGAAAAGCTTTAAATGCCCCCATGCCAGTGTATGGACACTATTAATGGTAGGGCAAAGCCTAAGGTAAAATATGACAGAGAAACCTCATTTAACCAGATTGACAGCAATACTGCATAGTCCCCTACAAAGATGGAAGAGACATTCATTTATTTTTTTATTGTAGAAAATTTCAAATATATATAAAAGTAGATAGACTAGTATAGCGAACACTTCCCCTGGCTTTCTACACGTCATCAAGCTTTTACAGTTACCAGCATGTGATTCATCTCATTTCATCTCTACTCTCTCCTTGCCCAATGAATTATTTTGAGGCCAACTCCAGGTATTATTTTATCTTTAAATATTTCAGTATTTGTGATAGATTGTGAAGTATGGCCAAAAGTCCTTCCATTCTCCAAATCACCTTCTTTTGCAATGCGATAAGGTGGGTTTTCCTCCCATCCAGAGTCGGGGGACATTTTTCCCTATCTCTTGAGTCTGGGCTGGTCGGGTGACTTGCTTTGACCAATAGAATGTGGCACAAGCAATGCTGTGTGACTTTCAAATAGAAACTTCAAGAAGTCTTGCAGTTTCTGCTTCTACTCTCTGGAATGCTGTTGCCCAGAGACTTCCAGGTAACAAGATATGTTGAATATAAATCAATAACTTTGGGCACACGGCTTTTCATAGTTTTGAAAGTGTATCTTTAGGATAGATTCCCAGACATGGGATTGCTGGATCAGACAGTAATGTGTATGTAATTTTGCTAGATATTGCCGAACTCTATCCACGAGTGTGCCATTTCATATTTTTACTAGCAATGACTGAGAGTGCAAAAGGAATGTTTTTAATATCATCGAAGTACAATGGTTGCTGCTTTGCCAGAAGTACATTCTTCTGATAGAAAATGTTAAAGTCATCATAGATAGTTTTATAGGCAGGGTAATTAGATGGAAAGGTTGATGATATGTATTACAAGGAAAAACAATGGGTGACCTGCAGGCCTGATAAAGTGCTGGAGGACTCTTGTTTTCTCTGCAGCAGACCTCAGCCCTATGCAGGGTCTCCTTCCTCTGCTTGGTGGGCTGGGGGAGGTCTACCTCTCAGCCTCTCAGCGATTTGTGTCACGAGCACAGGTTGGTCACATACTATGTGCAAGGCAGTCTGGTGTGAGAACTTAAACAATGAATATTAAAAATTTCCCAGATTTTCTGGGCCTAGCGTTGAAGTAAATGAAGTCTTGCTTTACCCCTGGGTTATGATGTGTGATGTGCTGTTTGCCTTACCTCCTTAGGTAGAGCAGCATTCATAGTGTCCATGAACAGTCTGTATGCGCTTGAACAGATTGCATAATTTTTTCCAACAATTTAAAGATAAAATATTTATTTGGCCTGGAGGTTATCACTTTTCCATTTACCTTATCTCTCCTAATTTTACTGATTTATTCTTTCACTGGTTCTATCACCCAGATAGAGAGGAACGATAGCCTAAGCTCGCGAGTTGGAGGTAGTGGAGGTGGGAGATAGAAACGGTAGATTTGGCGGGGAGCACAAAAAACTAGGGGAAGGTTGGATGGCACTAAATCAACTTCTTTGGTTCTCATCCTCTTTGATCTTTTGTCGGCATTTCGCCTGCATTCAGGAGCTCTCTTTTCTTAGCTTTCATGGACTGTACCCTCCTGGTTGTCCACCCAGTCTCTGTCTGAGCGTTCTCTGCATGCACCAGGGCTCTTCCAAGGCCCGGCTCTGCTGTCCTTGGTTTCGCATGCTTTTTTCCTTGCACTGGAATCACGTATTTTAATGTGTAACCAAGTGCTTTTCTCCAATTAAAAAATGTAAAGGCTTAAAAAATAAGACCTTACATATTTGGAAAAAAAATAAAAATACATTACAAATTTATGAAGCAATAACTTATTTCATACAATGCAATGAAAGTACAATAATCAAGATACTATTCAGTCATAAAAAGAACTGAACTACTGATATGTGCTGAAACATGGATGAACCTTGAAAACATTATGCCAAGTGAAAGAAGCCAGACACACAAAGAAGGTCATTATTTTATAATTATTTTCATAGGAAATGTTCAGAATAGACCTTCCTATAAAGACAGAAAGTAGATTGCTTATTTGTTGCCAGGGCCTGGGGAAGGAAGGGACTGATGAGTGACTGCTAATGAGGTTGGGATTTCTTTTTGGGATAAGGAAAATATTCTGGAAATAGTGGTATTGGACAATCTTGTGATTATACTAAAAACACTTTATTTTATTTTTTTATTATTTTTTAATTTTTTAAATTCATTAGTTTATTTTCGGTAATACTAAATTTAATTGTTCAAGAATTTTAAAATGTATAAAAAGATATTTAGTGAAGGGTTTCTCTGCCAGCCCTGTCTCCCATCTGCCTAGTTTCCTTTATTCTTCCCATTAAGTAATCATTTCTGTTAATTTCTTACATATCCTTACTAACAAAAACACTTTAAAATGATGAATCGTGTGGCCTATCAGTTATATCTCACTAGAGAAAAACTGAGGGAA